ATAATCTTAAGGGATTCTTAGGATAGTATCCATTTCTCACAATATGTTGTGAGAAAGATGATTCCAATGCATCATAATTCACCTATGACACATTAATAAGACTATTTTAACTTTCATAATGGGTCTTTCTTAGAAATCAAACTTAGAAATCAAATTCACACATTCAAACAAAGAATACACTATCTGTATCTTGTATTCCCTTTTCTCTTCCATTCTGTATTTTAATAATGGAATATGGAATATAGAAATTGTTTTTATAAAAAAATACTTGATACTATCAAAAATAATAACATTATGTGGACTAGAAGCAAAACTTGACTTGATATCTACTAGAAATTCATAGGTTAAAAACTGGATACTAGCAGAAGACAGACTAAAAAAATCTCTGTAAAAGTTTTTCAGAAATGGGACAGAAAGCACAATAAAATCATGCCTGGATGATCCCATCCAGGCTAAGAATTGAACAAACAAAAAAATCACACAATTTGCTGCTAGTTAGACAGTTTTTGTCTTTTATAATTCCTAACTACTAGGTAGCACAAATTCTTCACAAATAAAACTACAATGTAATGTACTGAAGTATCAGGACTGTCTATGGCTGATGTAAATTGAGATCACAGATATTCTCTATTTTGAAGAAAAGCTCTTACTTCAATGTTCAGCCATTGTTTCGTATGAAAGGAGATGAGTGTTCTCTACTTCCCCTAATCCTCAGTAAATCACAAGTTTATCATAGAATAAATTGGAAGAGACCTTAAAGATCATATATTTCCAACCCCCCTGCCATGGGATGGGATTAGAGATTAAATACATGTTATTAGATTAATTTGTATCAACCAAAAAAATGTATAGGAATAGCAAAGATATGCTAAAACTGAATTAGAGCTTAAAAAGTTTTGATGGAAGAATATTCATTTGACTGGTTTAACTCAGCTTTAGACATATAGATCAAATTGATAATGCAGTAATTCAGTATGTATCTAATAACAAGGCAATGAAAATAAAGGGAAGATGATGACTCCACTAAAAATATGAATGATGCATCTAGATACGCAGTTGGGTTACACAATTCCATCAATCCAAAGAAAACTGACTATGGATATCAGTGAGAAAATTGTACAAATGACAAGGTTTTCAATTTGTGGGAAACTTCTTTTTGTTTGTTTTTTAGTGCTGTATTTTGCATAAACAGCTTCAAAGAGGCTACGAGCTCCTAACCCACAGGTGGTGACAGGAGGTGGTACGAGGGAATAATATCCTGACTGCTCAACAACAGCATTAAAAGCACAGATTTTGAGTCTCTTTCAGTGGTTTTGTGAAATCATTTCCTTGGTTTTATTATAGCATCTGGAAACTAACCGGAAACGTCAAAGCATTTTAGATGTTTCATGAGACAAACTGTTTTGACATATTTAAAATGTTATCATTTTAACTTAATCAAAAACTATTTTTTCTAGTTCTGAAAGCTATGAGTACCATCTTCTTGCTACTTCTGTAGCACCCACCCCCCCCCCCCCCCCAAATTTTCACAATTCTAGTTAACAAGATTGCCCTACAAAGATCCAAAGCGCAGATTGGTTTAAATAATGAAATCAGTTATGCATGTACTTAATGTACTTAATCGTGTACTTAATCATTACCAGTACCCTTCCATGACAAAAACGTTCCTTTTTAGACAGTTTTTTCCCTGTTTCTCTTCAGTTTCCACTTGTTATCTCCAGCTGCTATTTACCTTTGCATATAATGTTCATTTTCTTTCCTCTGCCTTTCCTTGCTAGTACCAAGGCCCAAATGACTGATCTCCTCTGTCCACTGTGACTGTCTCGAAGGTTCACCAGGTTATAGTGATCACTCTTCTAAGAAAATTAATGAATAAATAGAAAAGGTACCACATAAAGTTTAATTGCCATGGGAAGAAAGTTGTCACTTTTTATGGGGAGCTGATTAATAAATAAGGTCCATTTTCCATATGAGATATGCCAAAAAACAGATGCAGCTTTAGGCTCCCTGCACAGAGATATTATGTCTTTATTTAACGCTGTGCACTGATAACCTACTTCCTTCTGAACTGATTAAATGGTAAGCATCAAGCAGGGATACCATGGAGCCACCAAAAGCAGAATGGAACCCACTAACAAGCAGAGACCTTGTACGTGCAACTGATACCACAACCCAGCCCCCAGCTGAAGGAAGATATGAATTGTCTTCAAAGCTTATCAGCTACATCTTCTGTGTGTACGACATGACACAACACTGTATCTATACTTCTCTCTTTAAACTGGTATGAAATGAGGACCTGTATAAACCAAATCTTTTTCCTTCAAAAATAACCAATGGAATGCATGCAACAAAAAAAGCAAATTTCATTATGCACTTTCTATGCAGCGGACTACGCAGCTACCACAACATGAAAATAGTAAAAAGTAGCATCCATAGCAAGCTATGAAGTTACTATGAAAGAAACACTCAAGTTCCTATAAATCTGTGCTGTTTTCATGCCTTAAACTCCCAACCAACCCGTTCACCTGTCACTTCTGTTGACATGTCCTCCAAAGAATATCTGAGGGCCTATTAGTAGCATCCACTAGCCAATCTGCCACTGAACACTGAGCAGTGGGGTTTTTCTCTTTCACTGCTTTTGCTCTGAACTGGTCCTGCACTTTTACTTTACAGTAGATTTCACAAAAAAGTGGTAAGAATGTTTTGCATGTAAATGAAATTTTTAACTACCCGCACTTCTGGCCTCTAGTTGCACTCGAAATTTGAGCAAGAAAGCTAACACCCCATGTATTGGAGCTGCAGTTCTGCCTGTTCATCAGCCCCTTGAGAGCCCATCCTACGTTTCACCCTGTTTCTCCTAGATACAGGGTGATTGTTCATGGCAATTGAGATTTTGGCTGTACCTCAAAGTGGATTTTTAGCAAGACCTTGACAGCAGCACAATTCATACCTTATGTTCCACACATGCACCATGTTTCCCATTCCTTTAGCAACACTTCTCACTCACGATAATCAAGGGACAGCTGGGTACCTTTTCTACTTTAAACATTGTTTCTAGTGAGCACTTTTCCCTCCCACAGCACAGTGGCCAGGGAGCTCTGTTGCTTCCTGTGTGAGGCAGATACCCCATCACTGCCATTCCAAGTTGCCAGTGTCCCTCATGGTTACCAGGGGCTGGTAACCCATAAGGAAGCCTCCTCCATGGGTAAAAAATCCTTTGCAATGAGGGTGGTGAAACACTGGCATGGATTGCCCAGAGAGGTGGTGGATGCACCATCCCTGCAGACATTCAAGGCCAGTCTGGACTTGGTTCTGGGCAACATGGTCTAGTTGAAGATGTCCCTGCTCATGCAAGGAGAGGTGGACTAGACAACCTTTGAAGGTCCCTTCCAACCCAAATTATTCTGTGGTTCTATGGTCTCCACCGGACATCTGTCAGCAAGTTCTCCCCACAGGAACAGTGACAGGGTCAGCGACAGCGTTTTTGCCACCATCTCATCCCCCAGCTCCACCCCAGCAGCCACTTGTTCAGTGTTTGGATTGTTCAGTGGTTAAAGGCCAATGCAGGCATGGCAGCAGGTCCAGCAGGAGAGTGGGCATATGCTTTGGAGCCTTGCAGGGCTCTGCCCAAGAGCCACCATAGCGTTCACTGGGCTTCAGTCATCAACTTCCTACCCTAGGGCACACTCTTTCATGAAGCCTCTGAGGGAGAGAGCTATGCTGTTTAGATATGAGTGAAATTGCACTGAACGAGAGAATGTTTTCAAAGCAATACATTAGCAAGAAACTCTTAGATCTGAAGGCATGTTTTCCTTTTCAGTAACATTGTTTATTGATTGAATTCTCTTCCAGAATATCATCAGTGCTACATACAACGAATGCATGCATCTGCATTTACATGATTTTGTATCATATTAGTGCAGAAGTTGCTATTCAGTCATGATAAATATATGCAATCTTTATCACACCTGGTGCTGATATTTAAAAACCTCACACTGCACTGTAAAAAAGGATGGATTGCACCAGCCAAGGCAGTGCTAGTTTTGGCCATATCAATGCCTTTCCTCCAGGAATGTTCAGATCCAGCATTGACCTTCTTGGCCCTTTGGACTGCCACTAAACAATGTGGTTAGTAATCCAAGCTCTTCAGCTATGAACTTAGAACAACCAAGTTTAACAGCAATCTGCAAATTGCATTAATTTACACAGCATAGGAGTGCAATGTCCCACACAACAGCAAACCCAGACGTATGGTTTTTGCTCGCATCGCAGCAAAACTGTGGAGGACTGGCAGGTAGTTCAGCAGACTCCAAAGAGTGGTGCTCCTCTCCTCTCCTCCACCCTGCCCCTCTACCCTCCAGTTCCTGCTCCTGTCAATCTTGCCATCCCACCATGACTGCTACAGTGTGGTGAAGCTCACTCAATGACCAGAAGATCCACTGAGGATTTGCTGAAAAGTCATGGCTAGGTAGAACTAATTGCATTTATTATAAATATTCCTATACTCATAGGGAGTCAAATGCTGACTCAGTAAAAATTCTGATCGAATTAAGTCAGACTCTGTTCTTATTTATAGATATAGTCCTTAATAATTTCTGAAGCTAGTAACATAAATTTTATATATGCATATTTTGGTAGTAAATCCATTCCTAATGAAACTTCACTAATGGCAGCTAAATACCAAGAAATGCATCATGCTTTGTCACTAGTCAAGTTCCAACAGAAAGTGTTGGAAATCTTGCAGTTCTGTACAGTTTGCTGCCTTTTAAAAAGTGGAGTGTGAAATTCATCTAGAAAGAAATAACTTTTCACAAAGAGACCAGGTTACCAGCTATTCCAGAACTGGAATCCTGTGCCTAAAGATGAGAAGAATCTCCCAAGCAAAGCCCCATTCTCTGTTCATAAGACACTCTCAGGAGATATCATAAAACCTTTTTAGGGATATTTAAGTGTTCTTTTTAATTAATAATTTTCTTTTCTCCTAGTATTCTCTCTAGTAGACACTGTTGGCTTTGACCAGCCTTAGCCTTGGTTTAAGCAGGACCCGATGAGCAGGGGGGGAGTGTAGTGCTGGGTCTACAAGACCTAACACCTAAGACCAGCTATGCCAGCAGCCTTGAACCTGTTTGTTCACTTCTGTTTGTTTTCCTTGCCATACTTTGCTCAAAATGCCATCTCTTTAGATTAGTATTGTCACAGCGTGACCTGTCTGCAACAAAAGCAGAGTGTAGATCTACACTTAAATAGGATTTCCAGGAGAAGTAATTGACAGAAACCACATAAACATAAGTAGAATGAGCTTGGACATAGACTGATTCATTTGCTTAGTATTTTGGGGATATTTCAGTGATGTAGGACAGATGAAATGCAATTTTTCCTTAGAAAACAAGGGAGGTTCCTCTGCAAACTTCATTTTCCTGATAATTCTAACAGACTGCACTTTAGGAGACAGTGAATGTTAGAGAGGTGAATAAGAGTTCAATTTTCCATAGGACTGTGCTATTCTTTTATTGTAATTCTTTTCCTGAGAGGAGCTGTAGATTGTGGCAGCTCCCTTAAAGGTCAGAGAAGCCCAAATGACTTGCAGTCACAAGCAGTGACACTGGTATGGGTTGCTCAGTGAGAAGAGTCCTTCAGTAGTTATGTGTTCAAATTGTATTACATAGTAAAGGAAGACCCGTTGTCAGTGAGAGTTTCACTAGTCTGTCTTGAATGATAAATATCAGAGTTTGTCCTTGAACCACGCTTATAGTATTTCTTGTATCTTATGCAATATAGGTCCTTCATTATCTTCACAAAATAACTTCTGAACTTCACTCCAATAAATGCATAAAGCACAGGGTTCATGCAACAATGTAAAAATGCTATAGCTTCTGTGGTGTATTTCGCATAGGCCATTATCTTGTCACTTTCACAAGATTTGTCTATCTTGCCCATATTTATGGCTGTCACGAGAAGAACAATATTATAAGGTACCTGGCAAACTAGGAAAACCGCTACAATTAATATAATCACACGGATTGCTTTGTTTCTCTTGGAATTCTGAGCTTGTTGTAAGGATTTCACAATGACTGTATAACAAAAAATCATAAATATGAAAGGTACGAAAAATCCAAATCCAACTTGTAGACACAACAGCAGTGATTTCAACATTGTGCTTTCAGACATTCTATCAAATTTCTGATCACAAATCTCTTTGGTTTCATTGATGGAGAAGCTGTAACTTTCACTGTATAGGAAAGAGGAAGTAGAGATTAAAATTGATGATACCCACACAGCCAAACAAATGAGTTTACTGTATGCGAGTGTTCTTGCCCTGAGTTTAAACGACTTTGTTGCCTGTACAATAGCAATGTACCGGTCCACGCTGATAAAGGCCAGAAGCAACATGCCACAGCTGAAGTTGATTGCATAGATACCTCTGGTGATTTTGCAAATGAAATCACCAAAAATCCATTTATCGGTAGCATAATTCACTGCCCACAGTGGAAGAGTGAGAACAAACAATATGTCTGCTATGGCCATGTTGAGGAGGTACACATCCGTCATGGACTTGGTTCTTTCATATAAAGCAAAGGTCATCACTACGAAGATGTTACCAACTAAGCCGATGATACAAATCAACGAATACGCAACTGGTAGAAATGCTTTTGTGAAGTTCCTGACTTCCAGTTTAGAACAAGGTTGTGTGATTAGAGAAGCGTAGTCGGAATAATACTGATATTCTGAGGTGCATGAATCTGTCTGTAAAAGAAATGATCACCAGTTAATAGCAGAGGTATTAATCTCTAATTTCTATGTAGTAGAGGATAGATAACAAAGTCATAAAAATACAGTACCTTGGAAATCTTGATAGATAACAAAGTCATAAAAATACAGTACCTTGGAAATCTTTCAAAAATTGGTATACAATCATTATAGGGCGTGCTGATTTGAAATATAAGTGAAATTTCTCTTATGATAACTGTGATACTTTGATTCAGTCCTTCTCATGTCTATATCAAACTCATCTAAAGACAGTCCACATTACTTTTTCCTCCTGCATGTTTTACACTGTTTCCACCAACTACACAGTGAGAATTACAAATCACAAATTTGTAAAACCAATTACAAATACATTTAACACTGCAGAGGAGACTAATTCAGGAATTTCATAAAATCTGAATTAAAATATGAACATGGAGATAATCTTTTGGGGTGGACCAAAGGTTTCCACCTTAAAATACATTATGCAGGAAGGATTAGCCTGATGTCATAGAAGACCCTACAGTATAAAAGTCTGAATTTGAAGTTGGGGTCTAGACTTCCTTTAGTGTCACAGGATGGGAACAGGTCCTTCTAGCATGTTCTGCATTTCACACTAACGTAGCTTCTATACATCAAGCCCCAGAATGGTTACTTTTCTCCAGTTAGCTAGATAGGCAAACCAGGCAGGCTAACCTGAGACACACACCGCAAACACCAAACCTGTAGTTACATTAGCAGAGTGCAAGCAGAATAAAGAGTGTGACTTGACACCAAATTCTGCTGTCAGAAACATCTCCTCAGCTAATGACTCCTGCAATTAGGGCGTTTGAACCAGCAGCCTCAAAGAGCTGGGACTTCCAGATCCATTGCTTCATTGAGGTACTAATATAGTTTATCAGTTAAATACTTACACAATTCATTTTGGCAGTATGCTTCTCAGCCAGTAAACCGTTGAGAAGAACTTCAAAATACTTTCCCAAGTATTTCTGAAAAGAAAATAAAGTAGATCAGATTGGGAAAACAGCACAAGAAATGTGAGCAAGTAGAAAAAACACAATTGGAAATAGAACTTTCTTCAAAGAAGAATCTCATCACTTCAACTGTATCAACAATACAGAGGACCACCTCAACAAATCACACATTTCTGCAGCACAATGTACAGTTGTGGAAAGTGGCTGGTTTGTATCAGTATCATTAAAAGCACAATCTTACATACAGAATGTTTATTTATAAATGTAATAAACAATACATGAGAATATGTAACTCCTACTTAACGTTGACTTTGCACCACAAGAAATTAGAGTAGATTAAATTTTACTTTCAGAACTCTGTATAATGCTGGCAATCAGTGTGTTAAGGGAAATGCAGAACAAATATCCATAACAGTAATAGGGCACTGTGACTTTTTTGTTGGTTTTTTTTGCTCTGGCATTTTATAAGTGTGTCTCAGCACTTTTAACATCACATTATTTGATGTTTTTTATTACACTACTGAGGCAAAATTAGAGTGCCATGATTAATTGCATTCTACTGTGTAACACACAGACTGAGCACTAGCATTGTTTTTCCTTTGTTCAGCATTCAGGTCTTTGTGTTACAGACTGAACTCTATAAAAACAATTTATTTCTTCATCACTGTGATACTGAAGTATTTTACAAATGGTCATTAATTCGCACAACAGCCTATGGTGAGAAATTATTACTTTTATTCTGCAGGGAAGAAATGAGCCATTAGAGTAAGTAACCACTTGAAATGTTCAGTTTAAGATGCCTGTCCCCCCGTAACATCACTTTTAAGAGGGATTAGCATTAAGAAGGACTTCAGTTATGTAAAGGATTAAATCCATTGACTCTGGTTGCAGCCAAGCTCAGACTTCTGCAAATCATACTACAGAGTCTAAAGTCACAGACAGACAAAATGGAGAACATGCCATTGTTGGCTACATGCGGAAAGCTGGGCTTGAATGACTTGTTTAACCTTACACAGGAACCCATGGGCAGGAGATTTAGTTCCTTGGCATTCCCTTGCATGAGTTCAGTCCTCCTTTCCATCAGCTGCTCTGTGAGACTGACACATGCCAGCAATTCAGTAATTGCAGGGACTGGGTGACATGATTGCTAAGGCTGTGAATAACAGTTTTGTCTAGACTTTGTCTGCTTTTTGTTAGTTGTGCTGCTAGTTAGGAAGTGTGCACAGGACAACTTTAAGCCTAGCTAAACAAATCCTTCCTGTCTGGGAACTGCCTGAATTTAGAGAGAGAGAGAAAGATAATCTGTGAAAGTGGGGCAGATGCAGCCTGGATATAATTGGGAAGCTGGGGAGGAAAAGCACCGAACACCCTCCAAAAGCACAATGAGGATGAGACTCTCTATGATTCCTTCTGGGAGGCTGGCTCATGACAGAAGACCGCAGATGGGTGAAGAGCCATGCTATATGATTTTGCTTAAGCATCACCGGTTCTCTGGTTCTCTGCCCTTTAAATAAGTCTTTAACCACCTCTCCAGCTTCCTCTGCTGTTTTTTCAAAGAAGCTGATTTTCAGAAGCTGCAGGAATATGACAGCCTGAAAACACTTGAACACCTTCTGAAGCAAGCTTTAAACACTTTAAAATGTCTCTCATATGTAGAAAGGTAAAGCAAGCAGGTAAGTTGCGCAGTTCACCTGGGGCTGTTGTCCCCTCAGCCCATCTTCGTGCACCTCTAGTCTCCACCTGCTGTTTTACTGTCCTCTGACCTCATTCAACCAGATGCCCATGCCCTTGCTTTGTGTTTCTGTTACCCTTAGCACCTGGCTGCAGCTAGAGTAACTCTTCAGTGAGACAGCACTAAATGGGCACTTGTCTAGATTATTATTTTAGAAACTGTTATTTTATTGTTGTAAGAAAAATATCTTTCCAGGTATCCAATATCCGTATCTTTCTAGGACATACATGGTTAAAATATAGAAAGAGAGCCCTGAGAGCATATATTGTCTATAAAACAATCATTCTTCATTCCACTCAGCCAGATACTAGTATAACATGTAGAAGGAAGAAGACAGAGTGAAGGCATTTACAAGAAATGCCTGCAGCTTGCAAGCAGGGCTAAGAAAGGAGGTCTCTTCAGATTAGTACTGAAGAAGGGCTCTCTAGCCCTCAGAAGAGCTCAGCAGAAGCCTTCAGGGAAGAACAGCTACACATCACAGGAGAGCTCTGTGCTCTCCCTGATGCCATGGAAATTCACAGAGTCACCACCAGTAACACATTTATTCAGAAGAGGAGTTCCACTGTCCAGCAAACTTCATGAGGACAGTTGGTATGAGAGCAGTAGAAAAGGACTCAGCTGAAACCAGAATCAGATTTAGAACCTGATTTAAAGCTCTCAAGCCGATTTCCTTTTCTGAATTTGAAGCAGCATTCACTGAAGTTATTAAGAAGATGCACTTGCTGCAAAGGAAGTGGAATCAGAACTCTATAAACACTATTTTCTTTTCAATTTAAATCTTTCTAACAGTCTTTCAACACATACCTTTATAATTTATAATCTGCATATTTATGGCTTTATTTAGCATCAGTGTATTAGGAAATGATTTAAAATAAATTTCCACGTGTATATGGTTTGTGTGTGCTCTAACATTGTTCAAATGCTACCTATGGGCACATGTCATGCGTGTGGACACAAACATACTTATCTTCTGAATACTAAATATATAAGCCTTGCTTTTTTTTTAGCTTAGTATTTTTCCACTTTATCCACATTACTGTATTTCTTTTCACTATGAAAGCAATATATGAGTACTCAAAAGTAAGACTAAACTACAGTCTTAAATATGAATACATTATTTGAACTATACAAGCAAAAGACAATGGATAAAGAAAGACCTCAGCAAACAGACAGAATTCTATAAGGTTAAAAACTCAGTACTTGGAGGGAATCAAGAAATATTTTGTAAGCATTGCCCAGCATTGTAAGTGCACTGTGACTTATGTGCTCAGTTTAAAATATTGATCACATACACATACATTATAGATCACTTATTTTGTTTTGGTACTTACCAGATTTGAAAATGGTCTGAAGATCAGTGAAAGAGGATGTGTGACTCTGTTACATTCTTTTGTGGCTGCCTCAAGCACATTTACCATCAGCCTCCACAGGAGCACACTTTAATTTGAAAAACAAGAAATAACAGCAATCGTTAAAGGTACAGAATTAAATTGAAATAATTACCACTTCCTCCTGACAAGCAATAACAATAGCCTGTTTTTTTTACGTAAAGGAAAATATTTAACCTTATCTATGCTGGAAGCAAGCAAGCTGGAGGCAAGTCATTTAGTCATTAGGCTACCTATGACTAATATGCTAGCACTAGAATAATAAAAAGTAGGGTGCTAATTGTACTGTGCTCAGAACACAGCTGAATGATGGTCTATTTTTGCAAAGGGTGCACTTCATGTCATGCAGATGAGCAGTTTAATCATTAATTACTTAAATCAGCAAGATAACTTACAGTAGCTACTGTAACTGAGACAAGTGTTAGATACCAAATTGAATAACTGCTGGTTTTCTAAATAAAAACATAATAATCCGGTTTCTTTCAAGGTGCACATTGTCCAAACATTTTGTCTGAACTGTTAACATAAAATATGCAAGTTGAGGAAGGAACATGCAATTGTATTTGCCTGTTTGGCACAAACATTTGCTGTTTGTTTGCATGCTGCTTACGCCTATGCTTAAAGTCAGTTGGATCTAGACATGAAAATACTTTATTTTCTGATGTTTCTTTTCCAGGCCTTAGTTTCTGATAACTTAATGAAACTTAGATGTTGCATTAACAGGAAAAACAGAAATAGTAACAAACCCCTTCAAACTATCTATTTATTTTAGAGATTGTGTGTGTGAACTTTCAGTTGGAGCTTGATAGAGAGTTAGAGACCCCAGATGGCATTAATACAGACAGCCTTGTGAGATTAGAGTAAATTAATAGAATGTTGGAGCTAAAGAAATGCAAGGTGATAGATGTCATACAGATGTTTTCTAAGTTATGAGTTATCTCATGCTTTTAGTTAAATACTCAGCATGAATAACAGTCTTTCAGGTGAAGAATTCACCATGTAGGTGAACGCCCAAGTTAAAACTAGTTCAACTTACCTTCTCACTACGTTTTCTTTTGACCCAGCTAGAAAACCTGAACAGCCTTCCTTGCAGACACTTTGTGCTTCACTCTGTGGCAAATGGAAAGGTTTTTTTTCTTTTTGTCACAACTATATGAAAATCTGCATGCTATGCAAATGGAGCCCCCACATGTAGCTACTTTTTGTTCATATGTTAAAGCCCTGACAGAAAATCTGCTCTCATTTAGCTAATGGTTATTGTGGTTTCTCAAATCTCACCATGTTAGTTTTCTGCCACTACTAATTAAGGAAGTAAAATATTGAAAGATAAGGAAAACAAAACCATCATCTGGATTATTCCAGCACCCACAAGCTGCTTCTGGAATGACGTGGGGTTTTTTAAATTCTAAAAGAAAGTAAGCACGCACCCCCCACACACTGTTCCATCCTGCTTTCATGTTCGTTCAGTTAAATTTAGATCAGTCTAATCTGATTCAAAAATCTAGCCATCTAGCTGAGGTTCTAGTCTCTCCAGACTACAAAATATAAACTATTTATTTACATTCAGGTTATGTTACCTATTCTTTCCTTTTAACATAATCCTCCTATATTGTCAATATGTTTGGGTTTTTTTTCTCATTAATTCTTTAAAACTTCCCTCTTCTGTTTGCATCCTGCTTTTCATTCCCTGACAAACATGCCTTTTTTCTTCTTTTGTAATTTCTGTATTTAGTTATTTATTCTCCCTATTTCTTCCTCTTTCTTTGTTCAGCTTTTCTAGATTTCTCTTATTTCCACTTTTTGTGTTCATAATTTCTCTCCAGTATTGCATTTTGTAGCACCACTCACTTGCTTTCCCTTTGGTCTTTTTTTGTTCACACTTTCAGCCTCACTCCTAGCTGATTCCATCTATCACCTGGTGTCAGATGCAGCCCTCCTCATGCAGATGTTAGGGACTGAAATAACATGATCCCAGCACTGACTTCTGTCCCACACTGACTGCTATCCATCAAAGTTTTAATTACTTGATCTCCTCTGCCAAACCAGTTGGAGAAGACAGAGCCTTCTTAAAGGCTCTCTACAGGGCTTCTGCCATGGGAGCAAATAGGGCTCAGGGGATTAAATAGATGGTGGTTCTAAGTGGAGCTCTTGGGAAGGAGAGAGACTGCATAACCAGTGTTTATGTCTCACCGTTAGCCCAAGACCTGTGATTGCTCTTGTAAAACCTCACAACCTGCCAGTTTTCTTCAAACAATGCACTTGTTATTTAATTTGAAAATGGAGAAAAACTAAAAAGGATTGATGGGAAACAGTTTGCAGGTCATGTGAAAATGCTAAAGATTCAGATGTCATTTCTTCTTATACTGAACATGGAATTTCTGTGGGAAGAGCACAGTCATATGCAAAGCACTCCTCTGCTTCACTGCAGCATCATTTCTTAGAATCAGCCTAGCTCCAAACTGGCCTGGCTTCCAGAAAGAAGCGTAAAGAGCAGAAAGAGTATCCTCCCATTGATAATCACCGGCTTCAGAAGGCTGGTTAAAAATATTTTCTTGGAGAAAATGTTGGTGGAAACATAAGTTTTATACAAAAAATGGATGGATTTTTGATGGAAGTTTGTGTAGTAAAGATGCCAATTTAGAAAACACATCAAGATGCACAGATGAGTTATTATACAGTTGTTGTATGCTTTTATTCTCTTTTACAGTCTGAGCTTACAAATGAGACTACATATCCTAGTTTTGGTTAGAACAAGTAGGAAATAAGCAATATAATTCCATAGTCTAAGGTCTCACAGAAGCCTAGACAGGAAAAGGATTGGAATACATAAAGAGCAACAACCCCCACGAGACATAAGAGCAGCGTTTTCTAGTTAACACATTTCAATTTTTCATCAAAATGTTTCTGGTATAACTAAAGGTGTTCTGAAGGAAGAGATATGGTTTACTGAAATTACGATTTTTTCCAATATGTGAAACAACTTGAGCAGACAATTTCCTATTCTTTAATTTAAGAACTTTCAGCTGAATTACATTGTATTTGGTCTGTTTCCTACCATTGCCCTTCAGCTGCTTATCTCAGAGAACTTTAAGAACCATTTCTGGTGAAAGAATCTCCCAAGGTTATGCCAGAAGCAATGAGCTTTTACAGTGATGAACAGAATGATACAGTCCCTGTATTGCAGAAGGGCAATTGAATGAACATGTCAGAGGCCTGTAATCTCACTGATCTACCTTCCCTGACCACAAGAAATTTATATGTACCAGAAAATAAATGTCTGCTCCTGAAATACCAAAGGAGAGAGAAAAACGTGAGTGCCAGTCCCTTGTTCTCCACCATCTGCACAATGCAGTGGGAACAGATTTTCTTCCATTGTAAAGATCCTTTCTGAGGTCATGGAGGGAGAAAGAGGTTTCATTCCTATGTCTCTCCTGCCCAGGAGTTCCCTTTGATCCTGTCTGGGAAAACAAATCCATGAAACCAAGCCCACATTACTACAACAGTTGCACGATATGTCATCATGAGACCAAACTTAACACAGCAGCTACACTGAAAGGCTTAAAATCAGATTCTTGCTAAAATTGATCTAGTTTGGTTTTAATGAAATGTATTACAACAAAGAAGACAGAATATTGTAAAGTATTTCCAAGTAACTGCTGCCTTCTGAAGCAAATGGTCCCCTGCAAGAAAGTTCTGCTGAATTGCCTGCTAATGTATGACTAATTTACACTAGGCTGTAGAGGACAAGTGAATTTCCGTATCAGAAGTGCTGCAGACACAAGGCAAAGAAGCAAGCAGAGTTAAACATGCAGTCGCTGACATAATTTCTATGTTTTTGATGCTGTAGTCAGACCCTACCCGTTGTGGTTATGTTTTGGTTGTGTTTTGGGGGTGTTTTTTTTTTGTTTCTCACTCAGTTTCTCACACTGTTTCGTGCCTCATAGAAACAACTACCAAAGTAGTTTCTCAAAGCCTGTCATAAGCCTATACTCCCAAGCACTGACATTTCAACCTGAGTATGTTGAATTCATTAACCTGATTTCTTTTTAGAGTTAAACTTTCTTTATATGACTGTTTTTAGAAGAGACCCACACCATGGAATGCCCCAGTTACCTCTCTTTCCACAGCAGAGACCTTCATGGCCTGAGTAAGAGCTGAAAGAATTTAAAAGGCGCTTATATACCTAATGATGTAATTGGTCGTTCAGTATGGTAATTTCAAGGCATCTGGGATCCTGGCTCCGGCCTAAAAGCACAAATGCTTAAATGGAATAGTTAAGTATGAAATTGTGTCTGCACAATATGCAGCCACTGAATGGGCTCAATATAGGTCAAAGATTTCTTCCTTCTGGGTGGACCAAGAGGCAACATGTGTTTTTCAGCTCTGCCATTTTCCCAATTGTAAAGACAAATTGGAGTGGTTGGCTGGTCACTTCAGTGAGACAGCAACTCTCTCATTTTACCTGTACATCACGGTGCAGGCTGTAACCACTAACCACATCGCTGATCCGAGGCAACCTAGAGATAAACTCCCACAAGAGATTGCTCTGCAAGGAGGAAAATCTTCTAGGTCTTCTGCACAGTGGGAACTACTGTTTCTAAACAGGCACCACTGAGATATCACTTGTTCAGATTCATGTAGGAAGGCAGTTGTGTTCTAATAACACATCCTACCTATGATCAGGTGTGGATCAGTGAGATAACCAAGCACATGTTCAAATCATTCTGGTTTAAATAAGTTGTAAGTATATTGGACGCTTAACTCTTACTGCAGTCAATAGAAGCTAGGTATCTCAGTCTCTTTAGAGACTTGAGAGTACTCCTGAATTTCCACGTGGATTAGGAGGGAAAGCAAATTGGGGTGCTGTGCCAAGCAGATGACAGGGAGAGCAGTTGCTGGCACAGGATTCTCTGCAGCAAACAGCTAACACAGCTCTCGGAATTCATATTGCAGTGTACAGTGATAATTTCTCTTCCACTTCCCTTCTAAGAGCAGACAACTGCTGTAATCATTTGATCTTTAGGTCTTCATGCATGCAGTCACTCACTGGTGGTTAGTGATTTCATAAAATTGATTTTTCCACTGTGATTATACCCTGTTCTGGTGCCTGGAGCACTTCCTCTTCTTCCTTCTTCACCGCCCTTGGTATCTGCAGAGCTGTTTCTCTCACATTTTCTCACTCCTCTCTACGGCTGCAGCAGTTGTCGTGCAGGGCTCTTTCTCCCTCTTAACTATGTTATCCCAGAGGACATAGAAGGTGGCTATCACCATCACCAATGGGCTCAGCCTTGGCCAGCAGAGGGTCTGTCTTGGAGCCACCTGGCATGGGGAAAGGTTCCACAGCTTCTCACAGAAGTCACCAGTGCTTATTGCAGAGGGGATTGGACTAGATGACTATTCTATGATTCTGTGTTCCTATGATTGTGTTGTGCAGCACAGACATGTTCTTTACTGAAGGGAAAAAGCATGGGTGTATATGAGGACACCCTTGAGAAAGCTGGCAACTGATAGCTACCCATGCCCCCCCTCCCCAGGATGCCTCCAATTGAGGTTTGGGAAAGTGTGCTAATATTAGCCACTTCCTGCCTCACTGCAGCTTCCTCCCTCTCTGTCGACCAGGGTTGGCTAACATCTAATTTTTCACTGACCCACCACTCACCCCCAGTGGGCTTCAACCACCCTGAAGCTTTAGGGAATGTCACAGGTATTGCCACCTAGATGCTAGCAGGGACATCCTCACCAGGATCTGCAGCTGTGCCAATGGCTCCTCTCTGTGTCCTCACACAAAGCAGTCTTGACTCTCTCTGCTTCTTTCTACGACGAGGGACAAGGAAGAACTGATCTTAACATGCCCCCACAAAGTGCCTCACTTCAGAGAGGACCATCTGACAGATCTGTTTCTTTCACCCTCAAAGAATTCTTTCTGTGCATGTTCAGCATTGTTTGGAGTCAGGATGATACCCCAGCTAGGAATATTTGGGCCAGCAGTCTTGTTCTTTCATTACTTCACAGGGGCAATATTCCTTTTCCTATTTCAAAGCTTGGTTTCTCCCAGAATACTTCTGACTATTGCTAGCTTTCAGTGAATTGACACCTGGCCCAGCCGGTCGTTTTCATCTACCTGCTAAACAGTCATAAAGTAGAGAATTTTGCTGAAATAGGAAAGCAGCTGCCACTAATACAGGACTTTTGCTGCAGTTTTCCCAGTAATTTTATGTGATAAACACCATGTCTCAGCTGTGCTGGTGAAGGGGACAGACTCCTACCAACTGAGCTCAGACAGGAGGTTCCTGGAAGTCCTGAAGTAATCACTTGGGGCTGCTTAAAATATTTAATACAAACACAGCAAAAGAACTTGTGCTGTGATGCCTCACTTAATGTTATTACTGAGCTTAACTGTGAAATGAGAGCCACTGTAATTACCAGATTCACGTCCTCTGTTACTGAGATACTATTGCCTGATAACCATGAGCTACACCTCAGAATTCAGAAATTACCCCTGCTCTTCAGAAGTGGAACTGATGGCAGGATTAATGACTCAAAAACCAAATTCTTCTTACAGTATGGTGTTATGGAAGCAATTTATCTCCTTGCAAGTTCATCGTCATCTGAACCAGCTGCAAAGTTCCAGTACTCAGATGCTGAGGACCATCTTAAGAGCACAACGCAGCTGCATACGCAAGACTAATCACACAGTGCTGGCATAAGTGGACCAAGGAGAAAATTAAAGTTTGTTCCTCATAGACTGTTTCAAATAGGAAGTTCTGGGAGCAGAAGATATCTTGCGCTTAACCACTCTGTAGTCATAAAAAGAAGCATAGTCTGTAAGCCATGGTTGCTTAAGCAATAACATAGATTGCCACATCTAAAGCACATATCAGCTAGAAACAGTAACAAGGAAATGGTTACAAAAATGGTGATCGAGTAACCTGTACAGGAATATGCGTGTGGCTGGTTTTCACTGGTTATTTGTCATAACACCCTTGTAAGCTTAAAGTATATAATCATATAAGTTTATATGATTATAAACTTGTAAGTTTGTTGAATAAACGATTCTGTACCTCCATGGGGTCCGTGACATCATACACCACACTCAGATACTTCTCAGTACACGATGGTTGTAAAGGTAAAGAAAAGACTGAACTTCAGAAACTATCCCTCTGCTCAGATGTGCCATCTGCCTGCAGAACGTGAAGGAGAGACCATGCCGACAGCTGGAGAGAAGCCCTCAAACATGTAATGAAGATCCTTCCTGGTTAAACGAAATGAAAGGTAAGCATGAGGCCATTCCACCCTGTGACAAAAAGCTTGTGGGAAAAGCCAGTGATTTTGCTGTTCTCCCTGAAAGTTTTCTTACTGTGTTGCATTAACTTTTTCCTTTTCTGTCTCAGCTGAGTGCAACAGACTGGAAAAGGCAAGACGGAATGTTAGACTGGAAGTGTTTTAGAAGCAACAGGAGATCAGCGGTTATTGTTTACTCCTGCTGTGGAAGACGCCCCCTCGCTGAGGGCAGCTCAAGGTTTTACTTTAACAAGCTCCGCTCTGATCATATATTAAATAAAAAGCTGCTATTTGAGTAAAGCAAAAAGAAGCTTCGAAAGAGTCCAATTTGCTATAAGCCATGTACTGAGGATGATTTGTTTTGGAAAAGTCTTCAGATAATTTTCCATTAAGTTTAAATCTCATCATTCTAATAATCGGAAAAGATCAGAATCAGACTTGTTTCTTTTAATAATTAGTCATAAATGCAGAGGTTGCTCGCTGTCTCTAACTTTATCTTGTTATATCTGACATGGTAAGATCCTATGTTAAACATCTTTAATCTTCTCTTGTTCTGCTGCTCTGCAAAGCCCAGTGTTTTTTAGTCTGTGTTAGAGTACCTTAGTATCCAAGGCTTTGAAGCTCTTCTAGACAGCAGCTTATTCCTGGGGTAGCTGCCAGCCTGCTCTCTCAAGGTGGATCTTGTCTTTCCCTATCCCGCTCAAATCCTTTAAGCTTCAGACTAGAGTCTGAAGCACTGCCCCTGCACGAGGACATCAAAGCATTTCTCTGGGGTGCCAAATTCTGCCGAGCAGCCCCTCCTGAGTGTTTAACTTCTCAGTGTGCCTGGTTCGCCCGTCTCCTTCCACACCACCACAGCTTTAATGTTTCATTCTACCCCACCAAGACTGCAGGCCTTTACTGTTGAGCTTTTCAGGAATTACTGTGTTCTTAGTGGGAAACCAGATCTTCTGCTTGTGTCGAAGGCAATTCAGGAGTTTTCTTCCAGCATCCTGAGAAGACTAGCAGAGATATTAGCCAGGCCTCCTATACACAAAAGTATGTCAAACTGACTTCAATCCCATCAGGAGCCTGTTGTCTTTCTCCTCTCCAAATTGCTGTAAAGGCTAGGATCATCAATAAGGTTTCTTTTTCTTTTAAGCCGTAGCACTGCAGCCTCTTCAGACCTATCCCATACTGAAACAGCGGGCCAGCTGCAAACCAGCTCACTTTCAGCAGGGAGTCATTGAGTTGCAATGACAGGCCGTTGTTCTGGGTCGTAAAGGAAGAGAGTGACTGAACAAGCATGGGAGAAAGTCCACTGGTGGTGCTGGGGGATGTAATGAATTTCATAAGCTGTACAGTCTGAAAACCTGCCAGGCTGCAGCAGGTCCATCCATCCGCATTTTACAGATGAGGACTTTGCACACAGACTCATTAAGCAGCTTACCCAGAGTCACCCATGAAGCCTGTAGCAGACCCGTGAACATACCTTGGGAGACACAGGTCAGTGCCATAAGGGACAGAGGGTCATTCCTTGGACCACATTTGGCCAAAAGTCACTTCTCCTAGTGCTGGGAGCAGAGGTGGATGGTGGGAGCACAGCTGCAACAATCAGGATCACAGTGTTGCTCTGCAGAAACAAAGTGCAACTGGGAGATGAGGAGAAGATGGGATGAGCAATGGCAATGCAGAGACAGCTACAGAGGGAGAGGGATTCAGTAGGAGACACAGGGGAATAAAGGCAACAAAGTTGGTGAGGAAAGTCAGAAAGGAAACTGAAGAGGAAACAGACTGTATTCAAAGGGAAGGTGCTTGAAACAATCAGTCAAAGGACTTATTAAGCCACCATCTTATGCAGTGGTCAGCATGGCTAAGTTCCTGGTATGACCAGCCTTGGGAATAACAAAAGCAGAAGGCATTTCTGAGAACAGCGTTTTTTACCTTTCACAAGCCTTAAAACTAATGTGAAGGAAGAGCACCCCAAACTCTTGCTAACACCACTGCACAAATTTGACAGTGAGGAAGGCTCTGCACCACACAGCCCGAGTATGCCTCACCATGCTACACCAGGACTTCAGCACTGGTCCCATACTGCATCACCACTGACTCCAGTTCAGAACTGACACCAGTTTAGGCTCCAAATACACAGCAGAGGATCCTCTACTGTCCTTCACTGCTCCTTTCTATGCCTAACTGAGACCAGATACGAATTTGTGCTTCTTTATGTCCAGTTTTCTGCCATAGAGATTAACACAAGGTTATAAGGGACATCAGTGTCCCCACACTTTTCCATTTAGGTAGGTTTAATATCACACAGTTACATTCCCCTTCTCCAGTACAACCAGGTGCTCACTGGGGACCCTCTTCTCAGCATCTTGTGCTGGTGGGCAATACCTGGAGTGGCAAAACTCCTGGCTTCCCCAGAGTTCTGGCAGATTCTCCATGCGAGATTTTTCTGCACAGCCACATCTTTGAGATGGAGTATTCTATGAAATATCATATTTGTTTAAATAGTGACCACAGTTCACTAATGATCATTCCAAACAACTGTGTGGTCCAGGCTGGTAGCAAACAACAAAATCCTGTGGTTTTAGATTAAACCCTGAGGTTATGAACAAAAGCCAGGGGAGGAAAGGGGTAGCCATGCTCCAGGAAGCGGTCTGTCATTACCTAGGTGGTAAACTTATCACAGCACAACTTTTGGACTCCTCTACTCTTGAACCTAAGATGAAGAAAATAAGCTCTGACTCTGATTGGGTTTGCTGGGCCGGAATGGTCTCTTTCATGTTCTTAGCTGTTGCAAGTTTGTTTCAATTTACTTCCCCAATGCCTCATGGCAGCACAGGGAGGATCAAGTAACAGTAAAATTATTCATTAGCACAATTTGGATCCAAAAACAGTTGACCTGAGCAAAAGCACAGAAATGACAAGAAAATGTACAGATGCTATCGGTTGCAAAAGACCACGCAACTGAACAGCCTTCAGTTTGCTTCCTGTGACCAGCAGAT